AGTATGCTTAAAATGCACAACAAGTCACTCAACACTTGAAAAGTAAATAGAAGCCGCGCTCTACTTCCAGGGCTCAACTATGCAAACTCACTGCTTGTCGGCCTCCCCAACTGCTCCCTCCACAGGCTGCAGAGATCCAGAACTCTGCAGCCCATGTCCTCTCCCGCACTAGGCTCCACGACCCTATCATCCCCATCCTTGCCCAACTCCACTGGCTCCCCATCACGCAGAGGATACAGTTCACAATCCTGGTCCTCACCTTCAAAGCCCTCCACGGTCTTGCTCCCCCCTGCCTCTCCGACATCCTAACCCCCTACTACTCTGTTCGTTCCTTCCACTTAGCGGGCTCTGGCCTGCTTCACGTCCCCCGCCTTGCTCACCCCACTATCGGGGGATGGGCCTTCCGCCACTCTGCACCCACCCTGTGGAACTCCATCCCGCAGTTCCTCTGTCTCACCCACTCCCTCACCACCTTCAAGACCCACCTCAAGACCCTCCTCTTTTACTGTGCTTCCCTCCCTGCCCTCTCCCACCCTGACCCTTAGCTCGGGTCCATAACTCTGTCTGTCTAGCTCCTTGGGACGTCCTCCCGATGTGAAAGGCACTATACAAATCTAAGTTTGTTGTTGTTGGATTACATAGAATTACATAGAAAATACAGCACAGAAACAGGGTTTCAGACTCTCTGCCCCCACACTCTGGAACTCCATCCCACAGTCCCTTCGCCTCGCTTCCTCCCTTGCCTCCTTCAAGGCCGGTCTCAAGACCCTCCTCTTCGATCGTGCCTTCAGTCGCCCTCCTACCTGTCTGCCTTCCCTCACCCCTACACCACCCCTCCCGCATGCTCGGGTCCTGACCCGACTGTCCAGCACCTTGGGACGTCCTCCCGACATGAAAAGCACTCTATAAATGTAATTTTGTTGTTGCTGTTGTCAAAGCTGAATCTCTTCAATCGTGATCTAAAAGAGGGGAAGGAGGGGACAAGACAGAGGGATTCAGTGAGACAGAGAGAGAGAGTTCCAAAGCTTCGAGGCGTAATGGTTGAAAGTGCAGTCACAGATGGTGGTGCGGTGGGGATATGGGACTATCGGGAGGCCAGCTGAGCAGAGGCAGCCGGTAGTGAAGTGAGGAGAGAAGAGGTAAAAAAGGTGCCAGGGCATGAAGGGATTTGTAGATGAGTGAGAGGATCTTGAATTGACAGATGGTGACGGCCTCTTGTGTTTATGTTCTCCAGAAGTTGCAGCAAATACATAGTTGTAAAGAAGTAGTGCTTTGACTAACGCCTTGCAGCTATTTTCATTTTCTGCGAAAAAAAATCCTGTCACCTTTTTGGATTACATTTTGTCAGGGAACAACAAGAGAACTGTTAAGTATCTAGATCATGAGATTGCACCTATTAAAAATCCTGCATAAGCATGGAATCAAAAGTAGAGGTGGTTGAGGAGAATAATATCTCAAGCTCATAAAGGAGCTACAAACTCGACACTGATCTTATTTGCTATCACTCAAACTCGGCAATAAAAAAATAAAAAAGCAATCCTTGCATTGATAGAGCACGTAGTACTTTGAGAAGACATTCCAATTTGCTTTATAGGATTTACTATAAAGTGTAATAACTGTATTTCGTTTGCAAACACAACAGCCAGTTTGCCCACATTAATGTTCCACAAACGACCACCAAGATCAATTTTATTTGGGGGATTGTTTGCCAAAACAAACTCCCTTCTTTTGTGCCATGGGATCTTTAATGTCCACCTAAAGAGGTAGATGGGAACTCTGTTTTGCATCTCATTCGGTACCTCCAACAATACAGCGCAACCCTGGCATTGCATTAGAGTGTCAACCTAGGATAGGAGAATTCAAAGTCCCGATATGGAGTTTGAACATCCTTCTGACTCGGGAGGCAAGAACGCTACCAATTGAGCCAAGCTGATCGCTGATAGCATAAGGGTTGCAAACCTTAACAATTACAATAAACCTTTTAGCTCATTATTAATTAATGATATTTATGTACATTTAAAATGTATAGCTACCACAAATCAATGTTTATTAAGTTCTTTGTGAAAGTAAGCTCTGGTCTCATCCTTTCATTATTAAAATCTAGCTAACAGAACTTAGGTCTGAAATTAAATAGCACATTAATATTTTAGCAGTCCTGACCTAGCTTTTGGCTTTCTAATCTTTCCTTAAAGAGGGAGTTTTCCCATCAGTATAATTATTCTTAAACAACCAACAACATCATCAATTTGCAATTATGTTGGCCTTTCATTCAGGATAATGTCTTGGGAGGACTTTACAAAAGCAGGATCACACACTGAGCAAAGGTGACCAAATGTGCAGTTAAAGAGATAGGTTTTATGGCAGGATTAAAGAGAGGGGATGGGAGACAGAGGAAAAGCTGGAGGGCGTTCCAGAGATTAGAGGCAAAGTGAAAGCCAACTGGTAAGAAACAGATGAAATATACTTTTGCTTTAAGTTGAAATAGTGACTATTGAAAATAATGTGGGATGGAGGACGAAAAGTAGGCTTGGTGTAGGTACCAAGTTAAAAAAAACTCAGATGAAATGACAACTTGAAGCCCCTGGCTTCGCAATTATCACTTTTTGATGCTGCTATCAGCTATCAAAACCAGCTTTCCACACCTCATGTGCATGAATACTTTGGAGGAATGGAGGGAGGAAACAGAGAGAAAGCGCACCTTATTACTCCCACGAGTAAGTCCCTTTGCCAACACAACTAGCAATGTGAACAACTTTCTTTTAAAAAATCCTAACATTTTCTTATTCTCTTGCATTCTCTTTATTCTCTTTAGTTTTTTCTTGCCCTAATTCTAGCTCTAGCTCCAATTATCGCTCCCACCCACTTGCCAAACACAAAGCTCACCTCTTGCCATCGAGATGGTGGATACTTGTAAGATTTGCTATCTTCTGAGAATTTAAAAATAATTACAGAGTAGAAAACTCTCTCACATTGTACAGTTTCGGAATGCCCTAATGGGAAAAATGCTACAGGAGGGAAAGAGAGAGAGAGAGAGAGAGAGAGACATACACATAGACAGGGTTGACAGCAGCTGAAACAAGACATATGGTGTACAGATCCAAATGCAGAGAGGCAACAATAAATTATCATATGAGAATTTGGTGGAGTAGAAATCGACAGTGATGTTTGAAAGTTGAAATCAAAGCAGCTGCCAACTGAAAAGATTGACCAGCTTTCAAAACGACCCATCCCAAAGACAGAACATGGAAGTATTGTTTACGTGATTGAGTAATATCTGAGACCATTAATATTGCAATGATCATTAGATTAAAAAAAAGTCAATAAGGACTATATGGTTTTACTGCTCACATGGCTATGCTATAATAATAATCCTTGCATTTGATATAGCGCCTTACCACGTTTTCAAGACATCTCAAAGCGCTTCACAGAATATACTGTAAAATTAATTGACTGCATATTTTGTGGGCAAAATCAAGATGTCTTGTTGAAATAGTGCAAAGGTAAGGTTTGGGTGACTGATCAGTGGAAGAAATGTATCGTCATGCACTGCCAGAAACAAAAGGGGTATTTGTTGCTTTTGGAGGCAATGCAACAAATTATTCTGCTCGAAATCTTCCACTTACTCAGGTTGGCTTTAAACATCAGCCTCCGCCCACGGAGATTGCACCCGTCCATAAATATTTGAAATGCAGCATAAGGTGCTGTCACTGTATGTTACCATGAGTCTAGTTAGAAAAGTTTAGTTGGCTAAAAATGTACTTGTTAAATTATTCAGGAATTATTTTGCGTGGAGTGTTTGAAATCTTGTGCTCTGTAAATCTTTGCACTTAGTAAAGCACCTTTCGCTTCAGAAGCACATGTAGGCGAACATGCCAGCTAACTTGAGCCCAGTGATATCCCACAAACAGCAGTGAAGTGCATGATCAATTTTATCTGTGGGATTGTTGGCTAGGACACTGAGAGAAACTTCCTGTATGACTATATGAAAGCGGTATCAGTAATATCAGAACCCTCCCAATCATAAAGCAAACTCCTGTGCTCCTAAGGCAGAGTACCATCACTGGCAAAAAAACTGAATCGGCTGATAGATCAGTTAGTTGAATCTTCAGGGCTCAGGTTTTCCAGGTCTCAGTTCAGAATAATGTTCATTATATGCTTAAAGCACATTTATCACTACAAACCTACAATTACACTACAAAAAAAACGTTGTATTGTACAAACTCTGAATTTATGACCAGAATCAAATTGTTCTATTTCATGTTTATCTTCATTTAGATAAACTGCCATCTACTTGTAGTTATTACCTGTACAGAATATCTATACATTAACTTGTAAATTCTGCAGGTAAAGAATATCAACCACAAAAGAGGTAGCTGGAACAAAAATGGCTTTTATAATACAGTGCAATGCTAATACATTATACTGTATGTTGAAAAGATAGGTTACAGGTTTGAGGCATAAACATTTAACCTCTGATCTTAGTAGCATTTACGCAGAAATCACTGAGTAGAGGCCAAACATTTTCCCACTGAAAAGGAAGGAAGCTATTCCTAAGGCTACCTCATCTAACTCATTTAAAATCAGCTCAGGTTGCTTAACATACCCCTCTCAGCTCTGAGCAATGCAGGAGGAGAATATAATTGAGGGTAAATATTCTTCCCAATAAATGAATAATACAATAAATCTTTCAATTCAAAATTCCTTGCAATGTAGTCAGTCAACTAACTCACAGCGTTAATCTTTGCTCTTAGTGTAGATGCCTTGCCAGCAGCAACAAAATACAGAAAGTGAACTTATCAACACAGGAGCTCATGCATTTTTTATTTGCGTTAAGAGTATCGGCCACTGTTGTGCCAGTAATGCTTCTGTCAGCTAGAAATGAGTATGATTGAGAGAGAGGAAATTAGATCAACAAGGCAAATGCACAAACCAAGTGTCGCAGTATAAACTATTGGGGGTCATAATTTATCACATTCCCACCAATCCACACAGCCGCATACCTTGGAAGCTTGGGGAGTGGAAATAACATGCACGGTGCTGGGCTTGACTCCGTTAGGTTTGGGTCGTTTGTACAGAGCAAATCTGCTTTTTCTGCGTCCTCTGTCTCCATTTGGAAGAGAACCATTATACCTGTGAATAAAATAGAAGTGACATATAAATCACCATGATTAAGTTAAGCAATATCTCAGCCTATATATATATATATATATACACACACACACACAGAAACCTGAAGTAATGCAAGTCATTAATGTTCTATAAATGAATCATTGCAAGATTTCCGCTCAATGTTTGTTTCCATAGAGGCCTCCCTACAGAGTGGCCTCTTCACATTTCCAGCAAGCTGGTACTATGAAGCACAGCTTATTACATTGCTGTTAAACTCGTAATTGAAACAGTTACATAACAGTTGTAGACTGTTGCTAATAATCTCACTTAACTTCTCATGAGAAAATGTTGCAGATCAAGAAAGCTACAAGAACACAACACAGTATCGGCATTAAACTACAACCACAAAGGAAGGACCATCTTGCACAGCATTGTATTGACGATTCACTGAGACTAAGCAAAAAAAAATTCAAATATGGTTAAAGTAGCCTTCATTCATTTTTATGGTGCAATTTTGAAGTTGGTAATGTAAGAATCCTACAGTCAATGTGGAGTGTACCAACCATGTGTGAAACTAATGAATCCACAGATTTTTCCAATGTGGAAAACAGATACAAGTTTTGTTTAAATAAATTCATAGGAATATATTAGCTTTGCGACTTACACAACCTCTGCACAAGCCTCAGCTGTTCCCCAAGTTAATGCGGTGGGTAGTTTGAAAATTTAAACAGGTTTCTTTACTGTATTAATTATATTAGCACAGGTTCTACTGATGGCCCATAGGCAAAAGAAGTACCAGAAGTATGCAGTACGTTTTATAAATCACCATAATCACATAAATCAGCATTGTAAATCAGTAAGGTGTGAATTTGATTCTTGGCTGGGGCTCAGCCAGCTGATTTTAGAGACTTTTTTAGGTTTTAAGGAAGTTGGTTAATTGCAGTGTTAAAAATCACCAACTTTTATTGTGACAAATCTATACCATTACCAACCTCTGTGCTCTCATTCATCTTCATGGTCAATCTTGCCCATTTGCCACTAGGCATGCCCTGATTGATGTTAATGTTCATTGTATATCCTATTTGTCCAATATTCCCTTTTCTTTCCAAAATACCTCATTATACTCTGTTTTCAGTGAAGCCTGCTAAACTAGCCTCAGCATCGCTGGGTAAGGGAGGGCTTCAGGGAACATGAGCCAGGGTTACCATTGGTATAACTATCCAGTGACACCTACTGGAAAGTGTGCATTGGATGTGAAAAGGATCAGATCAAACATTATTAGGTACCACAAGAAAGCGGGTGCTCATGCAACCAAGTCATGCAACATTAGCACTTTCATTCACCACTACAATGTGCATTTATGCAGTGGCCTTCATGTTGGATAATATCTTGGGAGTTCTTTGTAAAGATGGAAATGAATGCATTCAGTGCATGTAGCCATGTGAATTCACAAGCAAAATTCTCCACTAAACTACAAAATGATCTGAAACTGTACCAGCATTTTCACATTGCAAAGTAGAGAACCTGGAACGTAACTCCATGTCGCTTTCCCCGTCAGTTAGCTCAAATGCAAAAAGAACAGAGACCTTTAGGGGCAGATCAATCCATGCTCTTTGCCAGGTAATAATCCCTAGTCTTTCAAAATAGTGCCATGGGATTGTATATGCTCACCAGAAACAGACATGGGTTATTATCTCATCTGGACAACATAAACAATCTTGTATTCTGAGCAGTTAAATGGCAACATAAGTTACAAACTTACTGGTGTGGGACTCCAACCACTATGTTCCTCAACTGTTACCAACTCAGTTGTTTTTTTTTAATTGTAAAATAATAATACCGAAATTTGATAAAGCACCTATAACATCAAAACGTCTCAAAGAGCTTCACAGGTAATTGCTCTCATGTTTAGTGGCTGTATTTGCTAAAAAGAAAAACATGTTTTAATTATCTGGATTTCCCATTATTAAACACGTTACAAAATGTTTTCTAAATGTAGCAATTTACCTGCTCGAGAGACCCTGAAAGGATTCCAAATTAAGATTTGGGTGACGGATTGGATTGATCAAAGGGCAGATCCTTTGGCTGCTGCCTGAGACATAATCTCACGAGTCGGTTTTCTAGGTACGGGCTTTATTGTTAGCTCTTTGAAGCTGCTGATCCCACAATCAAAACATGCCATTATAAAGATGATAGAGGCAACCTAAGACTGCATGATACTGGTAAGCAACTGATAACTGCCGAAAGCTAGAGAAATATTCTAGTCACTATGTGAAAGTAATTAACTATTTTTAGGTCTATTCATAATAGTCTACAAACTGCCTCGTTGATAGAAGATATTGTCGTCGTCGCAAACTTGTGCTTCAAAGTGTTGGAATTCAACTTCCATCATTGGATTTCTTTTTCCAAAGTAATAAAATATTAGGTTACCTAACTTTTATATTGTCTTCCTCATTCTTTGAGTGTAATTCAACCTATGCTCTGTTCTTTATTTCACCTGGAGCACTTGCTCAGCTTGGATTTCAAAGGCTACCTGGACTTTGAAGCCTCGTTGACGGATTGAATGCCAAGCAATGTCATCCTAGCTTTCAAGATCAACTCTCAGGATTTCAAACATTTGCAACAAGAACCACCTGACAGTGTGGAGCTAGGTTTGTAACTGTAGTATTCACGAGGTGGTGGAAGATTGGAAAAGATGCACAAGTTTTGAATCTGGGTACCAGCATTAAAGCCATTTGCTAACTTCAATTACCTTACTTGCACTAAAACATGCAGGTCACTTTTTGATATATATATATATATATATACACACACACATACACACACATATACACACCACGAACACGCACGTATTTTCAAAAAGTTGCTCTTTACGACAATTGATATCTGGAAATATATTTGAAGCAGCTGATGCAGATTTTTGAAGACATATAAGAAAAGGTAGAGTACAGATTTAATTGCGACAAAAGACATTGATTCAACTCTCCCTCATTCCACAGGAAGAAACTGATCTTTTTAATATAAAAATAGATTCTCCTGCCTTATCTCTTCCCCTAGAAAAGATATTCTATAAAAGAACTTGTAGTGCTTCATAGGTAATTGCCGTCCCATAATGGTAGCTGTATTTTTAGGCAAAAACATTTCTCGGTTCCAAAATGAATCGTAGGACCCAAGAGATTCTGAAACAAAAGTATTTTAAGGGAAATAAAGGGGTAGGTTAGATGCCAAGCAATTGAGTGGGTTGAGTGGAAGGGGAGGCGGCCTTGAGTGCATTCAAAGCTGCAGGATTTGAGGTGAAACTTAAAGAGAGGAAGAGAGGGGCCAAAACAGAGTGATGAAGGGAGAGTTCTAGAGGTTGGGTTGGGGGGTGGGTTAGGAACTAAAAACCGAGCCACCCCTTCTCTGTTCTGCTTTCCTTGGTCTTTATTTCTAGTCTTCTGACATTTCTTTTGTTCTTTCTGTAGCAACAGGTTTTAAATACCTGAAGAGAAACTTCTTTTTAGATTACGTTCTCCTTTTGGAAACCATTCAGGTGCACATGAACAACTATTTTCACAATCAAAAAATTAACTTGCATATAATACATTGTTTGTATATTCAATTCCAACTCAAGATTGTTCCTGTTGCTGCCTGAAAAATAACCTAACAACCAAATTCAAAATGAGAATGAAACTCTTGGCACATTACAAAAGCCAAATCAGACCAGATGAGAGGAACTATTTTTTTTAGTTCCATATTTTAATAAATAATAATCCTTGCATTTGATATAGCTTTTCACGTCTTCTAGATATCTCAAAGCGCTTCACAGAATATACTGTAAAGTGAATTGACTGTATATATTGTGGGCGAAACGCGGCAGCCAATTGGCACAGCAGTGTCCTACATACAGTCGTGGATTGAAGTGACCAATTTATTATTGTTTTTTTTCTTGAGGGATTATTATCAGGCGTGTGGAGTACAGAAACTTGCCCAAGGTTTCACCCTCACAAGAATCAAACCCAGGTCTCTTGCTCGAGAGTGCTCTAAGCACTGAGCTACAGGACTCCACATATTAATTTGTTCTGTAAGTGTTCTGTAGTTTCCAACATTCCAACAGTGGTTCACGGAATTCAGCTTTTTAATTCCACTGCATACGTCGTACTAAAAACATTAATTTTGTTGTGCACAGTAGAGATTATTGGCAGAAGTTCTTTTTTGCTTTAGACCAGCGACCTTGCCAGCTTCTGTAGGTGGAATTTTGAGCTCCAGTTCTTCAAATGACTAACGTCAATGATTATACAAGACAAACTGCTGTTTCTTTCAGGATGACAAAGCAATTTTTTGACTTTCTGAAGAGCTCGTTTCAATCTCGAAAGCGTTTGCTGTGCTCACCATAAAGAGTTTCTACTCATTTATTAGTGACCGTCAGTGCTGAGAACTAAAGGCAATTAATGTAAAAGTAGCGTAAGGAATATATAGATCAGTTACTAAGATCAAACTAATTTTTAGAATATCAGCAAATTGATTCATCCTTGCAGAGAATCCACAGAAACTGGTACAAATAATACTGTAACTAATCAGGATTTTTTTAATGTATAGCATGCCATTACACGAAAAGCTCATTCACCCTAAAATTGGATCTCGTCGACTGATATGATTAGGTTTCCATACCAACTTGGAACCAACAATGTAAGTTAATTGTTTTTGGGTGGAGAGTGAAGGGAGATTCTCTTCTGCCAAGTTCCTTATAAGTTACAATTACCAACACGCATCTGGGTGAACTTTAAAGTGCAAGTGACAAATGCTACAAATATTTGCTTCGGTTAAATTTGGTCAATTAATGCAATCTGGAAAAGGTTGATAGGTTTTCTAGTTTTCTTTAAAAAATAAAAGGAATATTTGTGAATATGGAATGCATTATCAGAAACTAAGTAGAAAATTTCCCTCAGTTTCCCACATTTCCATGCGGATTATAGTTTACTACTACAGTTCATAAAAAAAGTTTAATTTACTCTTCAGAATTTGACTGTATCTCTT